TTTTTATTTTTTTAAGTAAACATAATACTTTAATCCAGCAAGGACGCATTAAATTGCTCAAAAATGACTAAAGATTTGTTACAAAAAAATTCCATTTCAAATAAATTATGTTCTTTTAAACGTTCTATTCATCAAAGAATCCTGAAAAGATAAATGTATTGCAGTTTACACAAAAACATTAACTCAGCATATTAGAATGATTTCTGAAGGATCATGTGACACTGAATCCCATAAACTGGTGCTGTGTTGATCCCAGTAACCGGTCTTGATAAAGCGTTCAGATGAGGCCAACTTTGGATCGACGTCCAAAACTGTCAAATATTAACCTTACATTGTAATATTTACCTCTGCTTTACTGAATACATGACGTTTACTAACCACATTACGTATTACATCATCTGCCTTATTTAGCAACGCGGAAGTAAGATTTCGCTTCATTAGCCGCTAAATATTAAAGCAAATTTTTATTTAAAAAAATGTAATAAAGGTTTAATAAAGCAAATCTCACACGTGAACTGCCAAAATACAAACTGGCCAACGATTTGAATGAGTTTTATTGCAGGTTTGAAAATCCCTGTCTCACACCCCACACCCATTCTGACCTTCTCTCCTTGGAACTATTAACACCTCCTTCCAGCTTCAAACGCTCCACCATCATCCCCATCCCAAAGAAACCCGGGCACCACCATCTCTCAGGACCTGAAGTGGGAGTTTCACATACACTCCCTTGTCAAGAAGGCCCAGCAGAGGCTGTACTTCCTTCTCCAACTGAGGAAGTTCAACCTGCTGATACAGTTCCCTCAGTCAATGAATCCATCCTCTGCACTTCAATAACTGTCTGGTTCAGCTCAGCTACCAAATCAGACCGTAGAAGATTGCAGAGGGTAGTCCGGACTGCTGAGCGAATCACTGGCACAACCCTCCCCACTCTCCAAGAACTGTACTCATCCAGAGTGAGCAAAAGGCCTAGCAAAATCGTGTAAACATACCTGGCAACAAAGCTCTTTCTGATTCTGATTCTAAAGGTAAATTACTAGAATAAAACTGCAGCAAATGGTAAAACTATTTGTGCTATGTGCTATAATTTATGATTATTATAATGAATTAAAATCATATGATAACAAATCCCAGTTTGCAAAACCAAACAGCAAAACGGGTTGTTTTTATACAGGTGAAATACCGGAAGCAAATGACACCGGAAGCCTCGCACATTCAAGTTACAAATGGCTGCGCGTGCTCTTACGTTAAAAATAAGGTTGAAGGCTGAATATTATTGCAATAAGGAGATTAGTTTGACACACTCATGTCTGACTGATATCAATACTTCCTGATTCTAACATTGAAACATGCATTTTCTGTGAAGCTGCTATACAAATCAAGTAAATAAAATTAACAGATGTAGATTTGTATATTTTGTTTCTGTATCTGTTTCCGTCAAACACACTCATCAAGAAAATAAATCACAACTGCATCACCATCAATTCAACTCATTTCTATGTTTCAAGACTAAACTTTAAGGGTTACAATTACAATTCATTTACTCTTATGCTTGAGCCTTGGCTATCAAAAAAGAAATGCATCATTAAAGTAGTTCACTCTTGCACTATATTTCACATTGATTTCATAAGCTATTTGATGTTTGCTTTTTCTTTGACAGACAGCTAGGCACCAGGCCATTTTTTTTGAGGAACATATTAAACTTATTTACTGTTAATCATCCTCTCCACCATAAAACACATTCAAAAGCTGCAGTCTCAAGTTACGACAGGTTTGACTGTGACATCAGTGATGCCATTGTTTGTCATGTGAAGGATTGCAACACATCAGTTTCTTTTGAACTTTCCATTCATCAAAAATCCTGGAGAAAAAAAAACACATCTTCCAAAAATATCAGGCAGCACAACTGTTTTCAACATTGATAATAATCAGAAATGTTTCTTGAGCAGCAAATCAGCATATTAGAATGATTTCTGAAGGATCATGTGACACTGAAGACTGCAGTAATGATGCTGAAAATTCAGCTTTGATCACAGGAATAAATTACATTTTAAACATACTATACTATATTAAAATGTAAATATTATAAAACATATTGCAGTTTTGGAAAACTGTCTCACATCAGTCAGACATGATCATATCTGAAGGCTGCAGAGATTTATATGATGTAAAGCGAGAATGTGATAGAAGGCAACAAAGTGAGGCTTCCCTCACGAGACGCTCTCTTTTGTCAGCGGACTGCAATTGCTGTCATTTCAGTTCCTGAAGGACCTCCAGTTGTGTGTGTGTGTGTGTGCGTGTGTCTGTCCTGTCATCATCATCATCACAGCAGCAGGAACATTGAGTGAATCTGAATACAGGATCTCTCTGTTGTGAACTTGTTCTGCTGCACTTCAAATGTCTAAATATGTCATCACAAACATGACTGGTGAAAACTCCAGCGTTTATGTGTGTGTTTCCTTTACCCCTCTAATCTCACGTGAATAACCACACATGCACATGCATACTGCCAATAATGCGTGCCGCTATGAGAATGTGCAATAAAAAAAGTGTTGCATGTAAAGAGCTCAGGGCTTTTACTACATGAGTAATTTCCAGAGAAGTTTATGTTGTAATGCAATGCCAGCAGGCAAAAGCAACTGTAACCTTAAATCTCAGGCAGCACTGCATGCCTTGGCACATTCAAACACTGCGTCGTCTTTGAAAACATCTATTTATAATTTGAAACCTATAGCTCAGATATTATCATTATGAATGACTTTAGCCTCTTAAAATCAAGCTTCTTTATTGGCATCTGGCTCCATGAAGAACCTTTAACATCCATGGAATCTTTCCATTCCACAAAAGGTTCTTAGACTTTTAAAATGTTCTTCATACCAAGGAAAATGGTTATTTGAAGAACTGTTCCCTGAAAAGTTCTTTGGGGAACAAATAATGGTTCTTCTAGAGATTATAATGCAAAGATGTTGCACTGCAATAACAAAAACAGGCAATCTTTATATAATATGGAAGTCTGTTTCTGACACAGAATAAAAAAAATCAAGTAATTGTGACTTTTTATCTAACAATTAGGACTTTGTTTCTTGCAAGTCTGAGAAAAATTTTTTTGTTTTTTTTGCAAGATATAAACACAAAATTCAGACAATTTTCTTGCAATTCCTATTTTTTTTTACTGTAGAATTCAGAGTTAACATCTCACGATTCTGACTTTTTTTCCCTTCTGAATTTGTTCCACCATGGAATCAAATGAAAAAAGGTAATTGTGACTTTTATCTCACAATTCAGACTTTTCTTTCTCGCAAATGTGTTTATATCCCAAAATTTACACCTTTCTTAGAAGTGCAAGTTTACATCTTAAAATTCTACAATTAGGTGAGTTTTCATCTTACAATTATATTTATTTGTTTCTAAAACTGCAAGAAAAAAAAAGACAATTGATAGACTGAAATCAAAATCTGCAATTATTTTTTTATTCTGTGGTGGAAACTGGCTTCCATATTAAAGCACGAGACTCTTATATTGCAAATACAAATGTTTGTAGTTTGGGAATCTGTTCCTCGGGTCAAAGCAGCACTAATGCATCAGTTGCACACAGTCTCTTTAATAAAAAATGCAGTTGATCTATTTATCATGTTCTGTTCAGCATATTTACAGTCAAGTAACAACTTTTTACACATGCAGCATGAGATTTAAACAGTTTATAATAAATAACATTCATCCTATAGAGATGAAACGCTCAGATATTATTTACAATAGCAAAGTGTCAGCATGCTGGTGTTCTCAAAACACTGAACAATCAGATCAAACCCCTCCAGATTCCTTACAAATCAGAGATTCCCATCACTCTGGCTGTGTTCAGAGCAGCATACTAGCATACTAGTTCTGCACTAGACACAGTACAACCTTCTGCATTTCCCAAAATGAGCAGCATGGCATTGTGTGGAACGCTGCATCCCACAATGCAATGCCTTCGACTTGACCTTTCATCTCCAGTGTGATTTTTAATATAATCTTGAATCATTATTTGATCAGACAGCCAAATGTTAAGACATTTTAAACAAAAAATGGATTGAAACTGTAAAACAATCAACAAGTGACAAACATAGCCTACTACTGCTAGAAGTATTCAGTATGCTAGTATTCCACTCTGTACAGAACCGCTGTGATTCACAGCAAACAGCAAACCTGTGCCCTACAGTAAAAATCCCATTCATTTTCTCCATAGGGAACTGATTTTTAAGGATAACTTATAAACCATTAACAACAGACCTACTAGAAACTAAAAGGTTGTTACTTAATGGAATATGTTTTTGTTGAAGCATTATTCCAACGTATTTTTGAAATGATCATGTTTAACAGTGGAATTCCTGGTGAAAAACTACATTACCCATGATTCAGCAGAGAATGGCATCAAGCAAATTTGCAATAAAAGAACACTTTCATATCCATATATTAAAAATATTTTTCATATTTATATATGTTTTATTAAACTAACATTTTGGTGCACCTGCCAATGGCCAGTGACATGAGAAATTGTATTTATTTTTTACTGGCCTTGAAACTGTATGTGCATTATTTCATTAAAAAACACAGAACAAATTGGGGAAACACATCTAATTGCAATTTTTATTATTGTTGTTCATATTTTTTTTTATGTATTATGTAATAATTAAACAAATCAATAAAGAAATATCACCACTGTACTGTAAAATAATAATTGTAATTAATAATAATAATAATAAAAAATAAAAAAAGCTTTAATGTTTTAGAACCATCGAGCTTTTATTTTGGTGGAAGCCTGCAGATTTATGTGGCATTTTATATAAAATTACCTAGTTTTATAATTACAACGCAGTCTTTGCGATTTGTTAACTGCGCAAAACTATATCGCATTCTCAGGCATTGATTGAATTAACAAAACAATTTTTACAAAAGATTTTCAGTTATTTTTTTGTCCTTCAAAAACTTTTTAAAATCCCTATGGGAAAAAATGAATGGGAAAAATACTTCTGGAACCAATGCTGCTGAAAAAGTGGGCGGGAACTTTTCCACTCCATTATGATCTCACTATGTGGGGCTTCACAAGGCCTGCCGTTTTCATTGGTTCTCGTCTCATTGCGTGTCACTTCTAAAACAGCCCATCCTTCATCCAAAGGCACATCTAGTTTGCTGATTAACTTGAGACAAAGTTGATCAAGTCGGATAACCAGCATCACACCTCATAAATCTCTTTCTTGGCATTTAAACACACACGCACACACACACAAGCTAATGAATGCAAAAACCCCTTAGTTTCGTTGAATTCTGATGCATTCTTGGTCCATGAAAGTTAATGTACTCATATATCAGCAAACTTCTAAATGCCCAGGGCTGAATAAATATGTTTATGCATCCAGCGCGTGTGGCATTCAATCGGTTTGTGTTTATGTGGATGTGTATGTATATATATATATATATATATATCTGAAATGTGTATGTGACCGAGTCCTGCAGGATTATATTGCCTACAGCAACAGTCCATATGTGTGTGTATTCCCTCCAGTTGCTCCTGTAACCACGTTCAACACCTGTATCTGTGTGCGCCGCACAGAACGTCGATTCTTCGTCTCACACACACACGCATTTACACAGCTACCTCCTTTTCCTCAGACTGCTCTCCAAGCGGCCGAGCTCCTCGTATCCCTGGTAGAAGAGCTCGAGCTCGCGGCCTCCCCAGCTCCTCCAGACAGCCAGGCACCAGGCCATGTTTTCGTTACGGAAGCCGCACACAACGGTGTCCTTTGCGATGAGCGCCGCCTCCGCCAGAGCCCTGAGAGACGGACGAGAGAAAGAGTGAGCGAGAGCTTTCGCTGAAAATAACCCGAGCGGCGGACTCTTCGCAGAACTATCACAGAGAAGCAGTTACAGGCCTGAAAGCCTCGACTGTGTGATGAATGTGTGTTTGCGCTGAGAGCTGACGGCAGTCCGACAGGGACAGAGACTAGTTTATGATAAACACTTCATAGCAACGCTTTAACTTCAACTAAAGCTCCTTCTGAAAACCTACAAACACATTCTAATAAAGCTGGTAGCCATTCACATTTTCTTCAAAAAAGTTGTGATTATTAATACTAATTGAATGATTTATTTTTAGCATCCTGGCTGCTTCTTGATACTGTAATTGATGACTTCCTTGTTTTCTCGCTGGTCCGTCCTTCAGCTTGTGGCCTGGAAAAGTGATCAAACGCCGCCATGATGAAGGACGCATCAATTCTCTAATCGAACCGTGAGAAGGTGAGGAACAAGGAGAAAGGAGGCTTCCAGAGGAGATGCGCAGGTGCAGATCTGTATTATAAATCTATATCTGACACACAAATACATGCTCCTGTCTCTTCACGTCTGTCACAATAGTTTTAAGTCATGTTTCACCTGTAGGGTTGAAATAAAACATTTAAAAAAGAAAAAAAAGAAAGGAATTTCATGTATTGCAGGTCAAATTTTTGTTCAATAGAATTTAAAATAAAGAAAAATGTAAAAAAAAAAACAAAAAAACAAAAAAAACTGAAATATAAATAAAATAAATATATAATAATAATAATATAATATTTATATAAATATAAATAAATAAGCTAATAAGCTAGTTTAAAAGTATTGTAAAAATAAATATCATATTTAACTATATATAAATAACTAAAAATAAATAAATGATTATGTGTAGCTGGAAATTTCTGTTCTATACAATAACAAAAGATTTAAATTAATAAATAAATCATATTTAAAAAATAATACATACAAATTATATATGTGACCCTGGACCACAAAACCAGTCTTAAGTGTCAGTTTTTCAAAATTGAGATTTATACTAGGCATGCACCGAAATGAAAATTCTTGGCCGAAGTCGAAACCGAACAAAATGAAACACTGGGCCGAAGGCCGAATACCGAACACGGTTTTTCGAGTTTTTTCCCCCATGTATTTCGCCAATTTTTTTTCACCATTGCATATATTAAAAAGCCAAAATGTGCTTTTTACTGTTTTGTCTTGCTTTTCAAAGAAAAAAATAAATTACAAAACAACAATTTAAAAATATTTAACACTGAACATTTTTTAACATTCTAGCAGACATCATACCAACAAATCACAATTTAACTTAAAATTAATAAGTTAGTAAAATAATCATTTTTGGCCATCAGACCCCCCCTTCTTGAATCAGGCATGTATTTTTTACTGTACAGTTAAAAGCAGCCTTGCTGAGAAGAGACTTCTTTTAAAACATTAGAAAACATTACAGATCCCAGTCTGAACACTATGTGTGAATGTTATAATAAATGTTTTAAAACAGAGCTGTTGTAATGATTATCATTATTATTGTCTTACTTTTTATTTTATTTTACAGAACAACAGTAAAATTACAATAATAACATGTATGAATGTTGATAAGATCTCTTGCTTTTTCTCAACGTTTATTTTGGCGGAAACACACAGGAAGACCTCAGTGCTTCTTTTTGTTGACAACAGATTTATAAATGAGTCTCTTTACGAATACGTATGGCATTGTCACATGCCTTGTAAAAATTCATAAAATGTGACTGAGCAACTGACGACTATCAGCGTAGATTTTCCTCGCGCTTTGGACTTTGAACCCTGGTTAACAAGCAGATCTGCTGCGAGCTCATGCAGCGCTGTCAGAATACATGCAATGCGTGCGTGTATTAGAAAACATAACGTTCTGCAGTTTATTCACTAATTGTTTAAGGCCATTTCGTGATTTCAATCATCATACAGTAACCAGCAACAATCACCCCTTCCTCTTCTCATCGAAGATGTGATGCAGCACTAAACAGTCTCTAGCTGTCAGTGCTTGTAATGATTTTTGCGTCTTTCTTGGACAGTTTTAAATGCTTCCACACTGCTGACATGTGTGCTGCATTATAAAGAATGCGCCTCTCACTCTGCACTGGTTGCTATTTGATCGCGTCACGTCATTGTTCGGTACAATTTATCCGGTCTTTTCGCTTATTCGAATAATCGAACAATTTCTATATCATTAATTTATTACTAATCCTACATCATCTGAAGGTTGAATAAATAATCTTTCCATTGATGTATGGTTTGTTATGATAGGACAATATTTGGCCGAGATACAACTATTTGAATATCTGGAATCTGAGGGTGCAAAAAAATCTAAATATTGAGAAAATCGCC